TATAAAGCAAATTATATAATTAATGTTAAATTTAAAGGGACTTTGTCAGGTTTATTCCCTATGTTATTAATAACCCCTACAACTGTTAAAAATTTAAAATTTTGATTTATTAATGATTTGTGCTTTTTAATGTTTGCACTGGGCTAGACTTTGAAAACAGACTCATTAATTTCAAACTTGTTTTGAGTCAGTTTCATTTTCGAGTTCTCACAAACTGGGCCAATGATGAATCCTTTGGTTTGCAAATGAGAAATTGTTTACATCCAAACAAAACATCTGATTTTCACTGAATTAAAAAAAAACATGCAAGTGTTTATTTATATTAGTGTTTTTAAAGGTCTTTCCCAACAAACTTTATATGCTGGGCCTAAGTGAACCTACAGAATCTCCATTTAAGCAAATTAAATTCTTATATCCATGGTTACATTTGTTCACAGACTGATGTTTTATATAAAGTATAAGTGCCAGATCTTTCATTTACGATTTAACAAATCAATAGATCAGTATCTATTGCCAAGCTAACCATGATCCACAAATCACTGGCTAGATGTATGTTATCTTGGGATGTCAACAATTTAATACAATGTCCAATACGAGAAGTGTCAAAAGATTCACAGCGATCAGATACAAAACTCAGAGGAATGATGTAGGGAATAATCTGCAGTAGGTGCAGGGCTTGGACCTGCATTATAAAAGGTTTTGTCCAGCCCTTGCTTCTGAGATTCTTAGAGCACAGCACTGTATGATCAATGGTTGATTTCTGTTTGGATAAGTATCACCATCAATTTACATAAAGGAAATTTCTGGTTGACCACTTGTTGTGGGAAATAATGTTACTGCTTTGGGTACTCATGGCATTCACAGTTAACTAAAGGCCCCAACTTAGAAAAGGACACTTAAGCACATATTTAAAATGAAGCATTTGTAAGTCCTTTTCTTAATCAGAGCTTATGTCTCTGTTTGTCATGGCTCTGACTTCCACAAGAAAAATCATGACTTGTCAATTTTTTTTTGTAGAAGCCATGGGTTTTGTCACCCCAGACAGCTCTTGACTGAGCAAAACTCCATTAATTGTTACTAATTTGGTTCTCCACTGTAGTGAAGGTTCAGATTTTAATGATTTTAAACTACTAGTTAAATGTTAAGGCTGGGATATTTAAAGAGGCCTAAAGGAATTAGGTATCCAACTCTCAGTCAAAGTCAATGGGACTTTCAGTAGAGGCCGAGGGACAGATTTTAAAGGTATTTAGACGCCTAAAGATGCAGAGAGGTGTCTAGATGCTTTTGAAAATCACACAAGGAACTTATCTGCATCTTTAGGCATCTAATACCTTTAAAAATCTGGCTCTGAGTTCTTAACTTCCTTAGGTGTTTTTGAAAATCTTATCCTGAGCATTTTATTGTAAAAGACAGGATTTTTACTTGACATTTTGTATAATTTTTCATGACAATTTAGTATGAATTAAAATATGGTGAGCCATGTGGTGACTTTTCCCTTTTTTAACAAGCATTATGACTTTTGCATTATTTTTACCATGACTTTTTTTTTGCCATAACAACCAGCCTTAGAGAGAACATCAGAGCACACAGACATCACTGCTTCAAACAGTGATGCCACACACAGAGACCAAACGGGGAACCAACAGCACTTTTCTACAAACAGAACCATTTGCGATAAAAACTTCACAAGACAAATCAATCCCTTACATTCACATGTAGAGCAGGAGCACAGAACAGCATGTATTGCAGCACTCACCTTTTCCTTTGCTGCAAAGAGCCCTGCCTTTATTTTTACAGTTCAAAATTGCATAGTACAGTAATGCTATCCGTTCCTCCACCCTTCATGCATTTTTACAACCACAGTGACTGAGCAATAAATATCATGCTTTGGTTTTGGGTTACGAACAGATGGAGAGAGAAACAGCCTTTCTGTTGCTGCTACTTCTGATGAAATAAGTACTTGCAAAGAGATAGAGCAGTGACAGAGTTTAAACTGGTAGAGCAGTGTGTGTGTGTGTGTGTGTGTGTTTTATATTTTGCCTTCGCACGAAAAGACATTTAGAGAACAGCTCCCCAGCAAGAAACTACAACCATCCATCTATCTTTGCATGCATCTTGATCTCCCTCAGTCTCTCCACTGCACACCACTGACTGCTGCTTTCTCAGCCTCCTTGCCAGCTGGTGCCAAGTGTTTAAGCTCCCAACCCGGGGAAAAAGATAAAAGCTGGAACAACCTGGATCCTGCTGATTTGCCACATCTTGCCAACTTCTGGCACCAACACTCAAGTTGTACCGTCAAAATAGGGAAAAAATCTACCCAGGCCTGCTGCACCAAAAACTCTATATCCCAACATACCCCTATGCATGAGTGCCACAGAAACCTAGATCTGGCACATGGATCTCACCAGATTAGTTCAATTTTTGGACCGAACCCCCAAATGCCATGCTATGACTAGAGAACAAATACAGTCCCTCCAACTGTAGGGGGAGGGATAGTTCAGTGGTTTGAGCATTAGCCTGCTAATTGTGAGTTCAATCCTTGAGGGGCCATTTAAGGATCGGGGGCAAAAATCTGTCTGGGGATTGGTCCTGCTTTGAGCAGGAGGTTGGACTAGATGACCTCCTGAGGTCCCTTCCAACACTGATATTCTATGATTCTATGAACTGCACCAAAAAGTCATGACCCTGGAATACTGGCCCACGAGCACTGTAAAAACTCAAATCTGACAAATGGATCCAACTGGATCTTAGCACAATTTAGGGTTTGGGACCAAAAACTGTGCTCTAAATAGAAAATAAGTGTAGCTGCTCCTACTCTACAGGAAAAATCTGGCTCCTGATGTATTCTGGCCTAATTGCATTGGAAAAATGCATATCTGTTAGCTGGATCCTGCCAATTTTTAACCCCAATCTCCAGCATTTTTTCAAATTGGCAAAAAAGTAGCAATTTCCTATGCCTCAACAAAATCCAGACCCTGCAGCAAATTTGCACAGCAACACTGCAAAAAACGTTTCTGGCACCTGGATCCCTACTCCATCCAGCTAGTTTATATCCTACTCCCTAAAATTCCACCAGTTAAACAGAGAAGGAGTGCAGCTGCTCCAATTCCATTGCAAAAAAATACAGCCCCTCAATACTTCTCTGCTCAATATAATTTCAAAGACATACATCTAGCACTTGGACCTGGATACTGAAAGGTTTAGTCCATTTTTTCACCTATACTGTATTCCCCAATATTTCCTTCCAGATTTAGAGCAAGTGTAGCTAACTTTTTCCATCAGAGATACTTATATCCAATGCATTATATTTCAAGAGAAGCTATAATAACCTAAATCTTTTATCTTGAGCTTTATAGATACAGCCAAATTCCATACTATAACACTGAAAATTGGCAGTCAAATTGGCTTAGCAGGTGTTGATGATCACTTTAGAAGTGGTTTAAACTCATCAACCCTTGACTGATATTTTCAAAGCTGATTTAAACAAACACCTTTGTTAATTTTTAAACACCTTTTAATAGAAAACGTGTCTAAATCCGTTAGATTCCTTTGAAAATCTTAGCGTGTTGGATACAAGTTTATCTGATGTAACAGGATTCTACCTTTGCTGTCTATCTAGAAGGTAAAATTATGGAGGTCTATGTGAAAAAATGGGCTAGACCTTGCTGGATCCAGGTCCATATTTGGATTTTTCAAGTGCTCAAGGACCAGATTTGTACAGTGGGTTGGGAGCTACTTGGTCATTGTGGACAGTTCTCTGAAAACATCCACTCAATGTGCAGCAGCAGTAAAAAAGCAAACAGAATGTTAGGAACCATTAGGAAAGGGATAAATAATAAGACAGAAAATATCATAATGTCTCTATATAAATCCATGGTACGCCCACATCTTGAATATTGTGTGCAAGTCTGGTCACCCCATCTCAAAAAAGATCTATTAGAATTGGAAAAGATACACAGAAGGGCAACAACAATGATGAGGGGTATGGAACAGCTTCCATATGAGGAGAGAGTAAAAAGACTGGGACTGTTCAGCTTGGAAAAAAGACGACTAAGGGGGGGATATGATAGAGGTCTATAAAATCGTGACTGGTGTGGAGAAAGTGAATAGGGAAGTGTTATTTACCCCTTCACATAACACATGAACCAGGGATCACCCAATGAGATTAACAGGCAGCAGGTTTAAAACAAACAAAAAGAAGTACACCTCTACCCCGATATAACGCTGTCCTCAGGAGCCAAAAAATCTTAGCGCGTTATAGGTGAAACCGCGTTATATCAAACTTGCTTTGATCCACTGGAGTGCGTAGCCCCGCCCCCCCCGGAGCGTTATATCCGAATTCGTGTTATATCGGGTCGCGTTATATCGGGGTAGAGGTGTACTGTGGAACTTGTTGCCAGGGGACGTTGTGAAGGCCAAATCTATAACAGGGTTAAAAAAAATAATTAGATAATGTCATGGAGGATATGTCCATCAATGGCTATTAGCCAAGATGATCAGGGATTCAATCCCATAGTATGGGTGTCCTAAACCTCTAACTGCCAGAAACTGGGAGTGGACAACAGGGGATGGATCACTTGATAATTGCCCTGATCTGTTCATTCCCACGGAAGCATTGACCACTGTCAGAAAACAGGATACTGGGATAGATGGATCATTGGTCTGACGCAGTATGACCATTCTTATGTTCTGTATTTTTATCATAGAATGTAGAGATTTATGGCCAAATCATTGCTAGCTCCAGCTGCCCAATACATGTTTGTTGTGGTTTTTCTGAGCCAGTTTGCCAGAGGGCCTGGATTTATTTTTTTCATAACTGTGGTTACATTTTTTTTTTGTTTCTTTAGACAGTAGAATTTGAGAGATTGGGTTTAAAAATTGGCAGGATTCAGGTGCCCGATATATATTTATGGTCCAGATTTTTCCTGTGGGATAAGAGTGATTACACTTGTTTTCCATTTAGAGTGCACAGTTTGGGGCTTGGGACCAAAAATTGGCAGGCTGCACCTGCATCAATATGCTGGATGGGGTTTTTGCATTACTCCTGCCCTGGGATCTTGAATTACTTTATGTAGTTTTGCTGCAGCAAGAGTGAGTGGCCTTGTTCCCTATTCAGGCTATGGTATTTGGGGGTGAGGGCCAAAACTTGGCTGGCTCTGGCAGGATCCATGCACTATACTCGGGTTTTTGTGACGCTCATGCTTCTGAATGCACCAGGATCTAGACTTTTGCAGTGCAACGGGAGCAGCTGGGTCCACTCATTCTCCCGCTAGGTTTCCGAATACTTGTAAGGGCTTTCGGGACTAAAATGTGCTTGGATCCAGCAGAAACCTGGTGCCAGTTCCAGGTTTTTGCGATGCTCGTGCTCCAGGATACTCCGGGGCCCGGATATTTTCTGGTGCAGTCCAAGCCGATAGACTTACTCGCTCTTTTGATGCAGTAGTTTGGGCGCTTGGGGCCAAAGACCGTCAGGAATCGGCGAGATCCCTCGGGATCCCCCTAGATCCAGCTTTTCCCTCTCTCCCTCTCTGGGTTTGCAGGCAGAACGCTGGCACTTCACTGGCCGCGCGCGCTGCTCTTGAGAACGTTCCCCGGATGCCGCGCGCTCCCTTCTCTGCAGGGGGAGGGGAGGGAGGCTGTGGTTCCCTCCAGGAGGAGGATGTACGGGAGGGGACGCTTTGGACAGGGAGAGCAATGAAGGAGCCAAGCAGAAAGCCAGAAAGAGTTCGGCTGAAAAGGAGAGGAGAGTTGTAGAGGCTCCAGCGAGAGCAAGAGTTTGCATTCCCTCCCCCTCGTGCTCTCTTTGCATTGCAAGCTCCCTGCTCTCCTTGTGCCTCAGTCCTGCCTGCCTTCCCTCTCAGCACCCCAAGAAGGAACAGCTCCTTTGCAGTTTGCAGCACTGCATTAAAAGGAAGCAGTTCGGGTCACCCGGGGCAGCTGAAAGCAACAAAGCAGCAGCTTCCAGCACAAACTGAGCCCTTTGCAAAAACAATCATTAAGTCTTCCGCCCCCCCCCTTTTTTTTCTTTCTTTCTTTCTTTCTTTATTATTTTTTTTGCAAGTGCACTGTAAAAAAAACCTTCCACAACGTGTCGGCCTCAGAGGGATCCGAACCAGGCAAAGCAGAATGTACCAAGGACACATGCAGGTAAGAGGGTGCTAGTAGGCTACCCTATGGGAAGCACGCGTAGTTGGCGCTGCAGAAAGGTGATTCTGTTAAGTTTCTGTGGGATGTGTGTAAGAGGGGAGGGGGATTCTGCTTTCGCACCATGCAACAGGTGAATTGGTGCAATATGATCGTGGCATGCGGAGTTGAGGGGAAAAACTCGACCGGGGTTAGCTTAAAAAAAAGGAGGGATGTGGAAATCTGCCAACTTTATAACTAGGTGAAGTTTGATGTTTATTTGTTCATTGATTTCGCTCAAACATGTATGTTAATTTATGATCATTCGGATAGGTTCAAGTAATCATTTCAGGGCAAACGTTCGTGGTGCGTTTTCAGCTGACCCGCGTCTCTTGCCACCCTCTTGATGCATCCCTCCATGTATGTCATGTGAAGGGCAAACAATAAGGGGAGAGGCAGACTAAATGCTTTGCAAACTCGGCATATATTTCATTCGACACTAAAGCCATGCATTGCTTTCCTCTTATTGCACAGACGCGTCGTGTTCAGAAGTGGTCGGTTTCTGTCCCTCCCCCCCCATATTATGGGACGGGGATTCATCTCGCTAAGTACCAGGATGACTCTGTAGGGTGGAATTTCAAACACGTGTCTAAGCGACTTCAACATTTTAGGTAGAAATCTTGGCTTCTGGTGCTATCGAGCTACATCACTGAAGATGCCGCTCCCTGCTGCTAACTCACTAGTGCTTTGGACGTGATTACTGTAACCTTGACTCTCATTCTCCTTCACGTGGCTCTTTCTTAAAAAGCCGGCTGTATGCTGGAGAACAGAAGGAAATAGTAAAACAGCATAGAAGTTGACACTGACCTCACAAAGCTGTTTCTTTGCATTGGGACCCAATCCCAATTCATTGAGTTAAACGATCAAACACATTTATCAGTTACAGTGGCACCAGTCTGGCATGTAACATGTGTGAGTGTCAAGGATGTCCACATAGAAACTGCAATACTAGTAAGTACTGTTTTGTGTGGTTCTGAATGCAGTGTTTCAAGACATGCGGAACAGTTACTACAGACTTAAGTCAATGTCAAACTTTGTATAACATACAAGTTAAATAACTACCCTGATTCAGCACCCTCTGCGTTCCAAAATTGAATGTAGAGCTGCCTTCCATTTAATTGTATTACTTAATCTCTGCAAATGATAACTGTTGTGTCATACTATTATTTGTGATTAAAGAATAAATAGGTTTTAACAAGAAAAGTAATTGGTGGAAATAAGCATACTGCTACTTATTTAGGTTAGAAGTAGGTTAAAGTGTGTATTGTTTTACAGTAACACAAAAATAGTTGCTGGTAGACTAATGTCACTAATCAAAATTTAACTAAACTCTAACCAACCTCACTTACAAAGCTGACTGATTTAAAAATTCTATTCAGTATATTTGTCAAATGTAACAAAGAAACAACTTGTCCAATTAAGCTCTTCAATGCAATTTTGTTCTGCTGCTATCCCAACAGGAATCATTAAGATCCTTAAGAGTACCAGTAAAAAGACTAAAAAAAGCTTTTATAAAGCATCTTCATGTTTGGTAACTGCTTAATTATTGAGTTTTTAAGTGAGTCAGACAAAGAAAAATACAGAACGAATTAATCTATAATGGGCTGATCTCCTATAAAGTTTATTTAAACCACCTTGGAAGGCAAACTACCAGTTTTATGCAACTATAGTATCCACCCAGGTACTAACAAAAAATGCAGAAGCATCATAGGCACCTCAAGTCCTTTTGGTTCTACTTTGTTCTTCTACAAAGTGAACTAGTCAGTGAAATATGGTAACAGTTCTGCTAACTTTGGGGAAAGCTATGATAATTGGAAATGCTTACATCTCTCTGTCACTGGTTCATCATCTACAAATTATGTGGTATATAAAATTGCTTAAAAGTAGGCACCTAAATAAAACCAGTCAAGTTTTAAGAGTTTCTGAGCACTCGTAGCGCGTATTGGTTTAAAGGGAAACATACACCTAAGTGTTTTGTTAAACTGGTGCCTAAATATGGATTTAAGTAGCTAATTTTAGGCACCTGTATTTGAAAATATTGGCCATTCTATATAACTTACTCCTTACTCAGACAAAACTCCCACTGAAGTCACTGATGGTAGAAGAATGCAGGATTTCGTCCATCCTTATGCATAAACTCCAGCATGCTAATACTCATTTTCCTTTTTCCCTAGGTCTTGCCCTTCTACATAAAACTAGAATTTACAGAAAAATTTCCCAAGTCCAATTACTTTAATATGAATGTTTACAAATGCAATGTTTTATTAATCAATTGTTGCGATTCAGTTATTTTCTTGGAAGACTTTTGCAAGATGAAAACATTTAGACATACAACAATATAAGGAATGCCATTTGTTTATTATATAGATTGAGAATTTACCCATTTTGCATATTCACACTGAGCCCCAACCTGTAGTCTCCCTTTGAATGCAACAAACACTCCAAGACTAGCTTAAATAGGCCATGATTCAGGAAAGCACTTAAGCACATGCTGAACTTTAAGCATGTGCTCATGCCCCACTGAAGTCAAGCACATACTTAAGTGATTTGCTAAATCAGAGCCATAACATATTAGTGTCTACTTTTTGAATTATTACTTTGTAGTACATAAAGTATTTGAAATGTTACAAGGAATTCCAGAAAATGACTCCATTTTTAAAAAGTTCTTCTTTTCTTGTAGGTCTTAGATTTAGATTCCTCTCTCATTCTTTTTAGAACTGATCCCTCAAATAACAAGCTGTGTATGTGTTCTCTCTTAGTGCTCACATGCACAGCTTTGTTTGTGGGCAAAATAAGGAAGATGCAGGGCCACTTTTGCCTTGGTATATGCAAGTGCAGTTCCAGTGTAGCCGGTGCTTACATCAGGGCTGGATTTTCCCACTACTGTTTTTTTCTTAATTTCATGCCACTTCATTTATTATTTCAACAAAGAAATATTAGGGAAATCCTAAACAAATTAGGAAGGGAAATGTAGTTTTGAAAGAAAGGCATATTATAGGTGTAATCCACTTTCCACTGTTACATCACATTTTTAGGGCAGAATTCTATGTTACTTGTGCGCCCCAATCAAAGAGTGAGAAGAAAGCAGAACTGAACCTTTCAAGGCAGTCAGAAAGACACACAGGGACAATACTCAGAGAAGTGCATGACCTAGCTCCTTCAAAGCCATTTCACTATAATTTAAATAAGCAAACACATCTTAGTATTATTGAAGCAATTTTTAAGGCCCATATTATTTACCAGATCAAACCACTCCTTTTCAACAGTGTGCTGTCCACAATGTAGAATGTATTGACATATTTTCTAAGATAGATATTAGCTACCTTTCTGAGGCCTGATCCTTTGGTGGGGACTTCTGCAGGAGGAAGGGAACTTCAGGATAGACCCATGGACCATTAACTTAGGTCCCAATCCTGCAAACATTTACACAAGTGTATAAATTTACTCACATGAGTAGAGTTAAAACCGTGCATGGGTGGTTGCAGGCTTTAGTCACCTTCTAAAATCTGCATCGTTTTAACAACAGCACTTAAAATCTGTTGCAAAGCTTTTACATTTTATCGGACGCTGTGTGTGCCACTGCCCTTGGTGCAGACCTCTCTCTGAGCTTCATGGGAGTTCCAGGCATGGAGTGAGGGTAAATTATGATTGTGGGGTAGGACTTTTAACAGTGTGCTGTATTGGCTTAACTCAGCTAGCATCGAAATCAGTGGTGGAAGTCCCACATCAGTGGGAGTGAAGTTAGGCCAGTGTGAATGCTTTTGAAAATCCCACTCTTATGCCTTTACTCACTCATCTTTCCACAAAATAGATTTTTGAACAAGTAAGGAGCTATTTTGCAGAATGTTAGCATGGTATTTCATGTGTGTAGCTAAGTGGCACTGCTGTGTTTGGAGGTGCCACATGTCAGGTAAAGCAGAGATCCTGACCACTTGTGGTTATTAACGTTCCACTGGCAATTTTGCAAGAACAGGGTATTAGCTCTGATGTTCTGGCCAAGTTCCAAATCAGATAATTACATTCAGTCTCCCTAGTTTTTCCCTGAACTGATAATTGCATAGGTTATCCACTTCCTGTCCCTGGTAGACAGTGTTGTTGTGCGCTGCTGAAGAGTTGCTGTGTTTTACCCTAGAGGTGGCTGAATTTCAGTTATGGATTAAATGATCCATGTGCATCATTTGCATTTCAATTGAAGGATCCTGTTCTGCAAATACATACACATAGGACTTCTGTGGGTCTACTGATGTGAACAGAGTTATCTATGTGTAAAAGTGCTTTCAGGATCAGGCTCTAAATGGGTGAAGTGCTTTGGGGGCCTTCTGACTGGAAAATGCTAAATATTTGTAAGACACACTAAAGAACTTGAAGGAACTGGTGAGAGATATTGTACCAATTCACATCACTATTTGCCGCATATATTAAAACAAGTTAGGACAAATATTTTTGCATATGTGCCCTGATTTTCCAACATTTAAGATGGGATTTTCAAAAGCTCTCAGCATTGGCCTGACTTCTCCTACTGAAATCAATGGTAAAATTCTCATTGACTTCAGTGGGATCAGAGTTATGTCAACGCTGAGTGATTTTGCAAATCCCATCTTTGTTGTTTTGTTACTCTTTTTAAAATACTACAGCCTCACTAGCTGCATGGTTAGTGATTTGAAAAACACAGGAAAACAAGCCATTCCTGAGTTATGACTGCAAAGGGATATACCAAAACAGGACATTATATATATACACTGTCCATCTTACAAACAAGCTGCACAGAACAAATACAGTTAAACTCAATGCTAAGTTGAACCTTTGCTCAGCAAGCTGAAGACCAAGAGAAATGTATAGCTTTAGTTATGAAACCCTGAAAATCTGAGTTTGTAACTGGAGTGTTGAGTAACCGTAAATGAAAGTGATGTATGGTGACTCCCAGCCATACTGAAATTCCATTATGATAAGCTGATAATTATCAT